ACGCTCAAGGTGAAACTGAACTGTCGGGTGGGGTCATCTGTAGTCTCTGTGAGGTTTCCCTGAGGCATCAATGTCTTAGAAGGGGGCGGGGCCTGTGTGTCAGGTGGGGTCGTCTGTAGTCTCTGTGAGGTTTTCCCTGAGGCATGACTGTCCCGGTCGGGCCACTGCAGGAGGATGGCGTACAACGCGCCCGCGTGGAGGAGGAGAAGCGCAAAGAGGTGACGTCCCATTTCCAGGTGACGCTGAATGACATCCAGGCACAAATGGAGCAGCATAACGAGCGCAACAGCACACTGAGGCAGGAGAACATGGAGCTGGCCGAGAAGCTGAAGAAGCTCATTGAGCAGTACGAGCTGCGTGAGGAGGTACTCCGCCTCTCTGCTCCTCCTGCTGTCTCCTCAGCCTCCTTACGTCGGCTCCTATGTCACCAGCCTTAGTTTTCCTACTTGACCCGTTTAGATTTGTCCATAGTTGTTTTCTTTATGGTTCCTTCTGAGATTTGATCCAGCAGCTTTGGTAAAGAATTCATGTCTTAATGGCTCCATAAAAGGCAGTGAAGTGCAGGGTGGGGATATTGTTGGCCTATAACAGACGGTCTAGTGGGAACGTTGCTTATACTGAGGTCAGAAACCAGACGTGAGCTGCTGCAGGGGCTGCTACTGAATGCTCTCCAGGGACATTCCGCCATAAATCTCCCAGTGGGACTGGATTAGTGACTGCACTGGTGTTGCCTTTATTAGCTGGAGGCCTGCAGTCCAGCCTCATCTCCTTTTGTAGATGCAGGTGCAAAGTGCGAATCCCCCACCCTTTGGCCTCCTGTGTGTAGGATAAGTGATCCACTTATTAGAGTGGCTGGAAATGTCTGGAACGTGTAACCTGGACAAACAAAGGTGTCGAAGCTCCACTGCCACCAACAACCGAGCCGTACCTGATCCGTACCACGAACTGGGGCTTTTCCATTGCAAAGCTTAACTGCACTGACATGGTCCTGCTTACTAGCAGGGCTGAAAGCGTGACCAAACCAAGCTGGCTGCGTCACCACCATCCGATTGGTCGAAATGCATGATTATCTGAAGGAAAAAGCATATATTCTGTACGTTATTCATTATTAGTAGTATTGCACATTTCCACAAACTTGGAACTTGAAAATTTCCAACCTCCTACTTAAAGTACTAGAACAGCTGAACTGAATGAATTCTCCTGGCATTTGATACTTGCATATCATGCTGATTCTGTGATTTTCACAGACATGGTAGCGGAAAATAGCATAGAGTAAAAAACAAAAATAATTCCACGTAGTAAATCATGATGTACATTGTCTGGACAATTAAGCGTCTGTTCAGTTTTAAGTCACTGTCACTCGGGATTGCCTTTACCTAGCCGACCAATCTGCAGTGGACCAATCCTCGCTGTAACTAGTCCCTCTCTGCGGTTCAGCTCGCGTACGGGTCGGTTCCTGTGTGCCAGTGCAAAAGCGCCAACAGACGCCACCTGATGTGTGTCCCCATTCCACCTGCATTTCCGCAGCACATCGACAAGGTGTTCAAGCACAAGGATCTGCAGCAGCAGCTGGTGGACGCCAAGCTCCATCAGGCCCAGGAGCTGCTTAAGGAGGCTGAGGACCGACACCAGAGGGAGAAGGACTTTGTAAGTGAGAGCTGAAGGAGGCTGGGGGCGGGATGTCGGGGAAGTGACACGTGGGGCAGCCAGTCGGAGAGGGGAAATAGAACATGTTTGGTTAAACCCAGCTAATAGCCTGTAGAATCTGAAAAGAAAGCCCTCCAATGGCAATCCTTATGAGTAAGGGCTGTGTTAAAGTTGGGTGAAAGGAAAACATCCTGGTGGGGAGTGTAGCATTAATGAGCTTTTCATTAGCATTTTATTTATTTAGCAGAAGCTCTTATCCAAAGCAACATACATTTATATTGGGAAGGCAGGGTCAGACTCCCCAGTCCCTGGAGCAATTGGGGGTTAATGACCTTGCTCAGGGGGACCCCTTGATTTTGTCCAGTTCGATGTGTCCCTGGGTCAACAAGGGAGGAGCTGACGTTTGACTTCATTAACCAGTCACAGTCTTCATCGTATGACATCACCACGCTGGACTGTTTTTTCTTTTTCTTTTTTTTTCTTCTTTTGTGGCTCAGTGGGCTAAGCCGCTGTGTTTGCAGTCACAGGGTTGCTGGTTCAAGCCTTGTTGTTGTTGTTGTTGTTGCTGTTGCTGTTGCTGCTGCTATCACGAAATAGACACACCCTTAGACTGCTGCAAACAGCCTTTCAGGTGAACATATTCCTGTTTTGTTTATCTATGACATGTCCCTTAACAAAAGGCATATGCAATAAAACAGGTACTTGAGAAATCTGTGTTCCTTGCTGCTTAACAGAAAACAATGGCTTTAATGAATGCAGTAATGTCATAGGATGAAAACTGTGACTGGTTAAAGAAGTGAAACACAAGCCCCTCCCTTATTGACCCAAGGACACATCAAACTCGGCAGAATCAGGACGTGCTTGTCCACAGATCCTGGATTTTGAACCAGTGACACAGTAATCACAGGCAACAGCATCTTCAGTGCTAACTCCAGGCTAACTCTAGGCCAGGGGTGTCAAACTCCAGTCCTGGGGGGCCGGAGCCCAGAGTTCTTTCCCTGTTCCACCACAAATGATTCAGCTCAAGAGCTGTGTGGTAATTAGCACAAGTACTTGAATCTGGTGTGTTAAATGAGGGGAAACCCAAAAATGTGTAAGGCTCCGGCCCCCCAGGACTGGAGTTTGACACCCGTGCTCTAGGCTAACCCCAGACACCCTACGTGATTAAAACAGGCATTGGCTTCTAGCTTCACAGAGGCTGACGGGTCACCCTCTCTATCCACAGCTCCTGAAGGAGGCTGTGGAATCCCAGAGGATGTGTGAGCTGATGAAGCAGCAGGAGGTTCACCTAAAGCAGCAGGTGAGGACAGGCCCTCACGATCGGCGGGGAGCCTTAGCGACAGGATACGCAGTCGAGCTCGTCACGCGGCCGAGAAGTCTCCAGAATTGCCCTTTCTCGTTTCCCTAGTTATCCTTGTACACGGAGAAGTTCGAGGAGTTCCAGAACACGCTCTCCAAAAGCAACGAGGTGTTCACCACGTTCAAGCAGGAGATGGAGAAGGTAGGTAGCCCCTCACCCCGCTCCGGTCCGGCGTCCTGTAGGTGGTCGCGTCTCCCTGGGGGGCCGTGGTCACTCCGTGCCTGTGCTTGGCCGCAGATGACGAAGAAGATAAAGAAGCTGGAGAAGGAGACGACGATGTACCGCTCCAGGTGGGAGAGCAGCAACAGGGCTCTGCTGGAGATGGCGGAGGAGGTACCTGCTGTCGCTTGCCCACTCTCACGCTTCGCTCGCTCACCTGCTCTCCCTGCCCCTGACCAGCAGAGCTTTGACCTCTCTATGCACCACGTGCAGAGACAGATGACCACACTGATTTATTTGACCAAAGTGTCTCCATTGTCATCTTCAGCTATATGATCCATGGGTCAAACACTGAGATGAAATTACGATCTTGTTGGTCATGGTGCAAGAAACCGTAAGAAAAAGAATATAGCTGTAAATACGACATTGAGACGTGGACAAAAGACAGACAGTAGTTTTACAAATGGCCATTGAAAATGAATGCAAAGAAATTTGCAGTAAGACACCATTGGCACAGGGACCTGAGACAGGCCGCTGCACAGCGTCACACCGCCATAATGCCAAGACCCTTTCAGAAACTGATATTAATAAGGAAGCGTGCTCTGTAAATCTTTAAAAACTCATTAGTGTGCAAAGCAGTGATTTTGCCCACTATTGGTTCATTTTGTTGAGCTCATGTATAACGCTGCATGTTATTGGCACTTCCATTTGGGATCTTGGCTGATTGGCTGATGCGCCGTGATGTCGCTGTGTTTGTGCAGAAGACGGTGCGTGAGAAGGAGCTGGAGTGCCTCCAGGGGAAGGTGCAGCGGCTGGAGAAGCTGTGCCGGGCGCTGCAGACGGAGCGCAATGAGCTCAGCAAGCGGGTGCAGGGCCTGGGGGGCCCGGGGGAGGGCGTCGAGACCGGGCCGCAGCCCCCAGCACCGCCCAGAGACTCTGACGAGGGGGGCTCTCCCGGCAGCCCAGAGCCAGAATGCACCCCCCCCCCCCCCGCCCCCCCCCCCCCCCCCCCCCCCCCCCCCCCCCCGTTCCACTGCTTTCTTTTCTCTCCATATTCTTCCAGAGTATGCCAGTCTTTTCTAAGGGCAAAACCACATGTACGTCAAGGAAAAAAATCTTAATTAGTTTAATCCCCCCTCCCCTCCCCATAATGCATACATTGCTACGAGGAACAGTGCTGCTGTTTGTCAATGCAGAGCGTCTGGGTTCTGTCTGCGTTTTCTTCTTTCCCCTCTGTGTCGGGTCCCTTTACACAAGCTTCCCCTGATCTCTGCACTCTGCAGGAGGGCCTGTTCCTGTTCCAGGCATGGCTGCTGCGTTGCCTGAACGGGCGACATCCGTCCCTCTTTCCTTATCCGCTGCCTTAACCTGCGCGCTGCGGGGCGCATAACCCCTGACCCCGGCACCGTCTCCTTTAGTCGCTTCAGTTTCAGAAACCACAGCATTTTGTCATTTTTCTTTTGAAAACCAAGGGGCTACATTCAGAAGCCCGTAGCGTGTGTCATGTAACGGCCAGGTGCTCTTAAGTTTTACACTCGGTTCTCCATATCAGTCTGTTTTTGACACCTTTGTGTTGCACAAGTCAGCTGACATGTAGGTTGTTTATATTTTATAAGACTATTTGCCACATATAGATCAAATTGCACTAGATTTATTATATAATCTTGTGTACTAATGCTAACGAATGATTGCTATTCTTGGACCAATTCATAGCTGTTATCTTTCCTATAAAATGCTTCCCGTACAAATGAGATTAAATAATTAAAATATTATTGGTTTGTTTTTGTGTGGTTTATGCATTTGGGGTTAGGTGAAATTGGTCAGTCTTCTGCACAACCCAAACAAATATCGATTCGTAAAATGTTTCAATTTCATCTAATTTCTTCCTCCTGGATTTTGGGTGTTGGATCATTCTTCATTGTGTTCTGCAGAAGGCCCCCCATCCAACATTTCCTATGAAAGGATGGTGTAACCTGAATGTACTAACGATATTTATTTTCTGACACTAGCAGCACAGAAGCATTGTATCCTTTGTGTCCACGTGTTTTTTTTTTTTTGTTTGTTTTTGCACTGTCAGTATATTTCGTGTGTCATCTCACCGATAGGCTTTAGAATTCACAGGATCCTCATTTCTGTACTTTTCATATCTATTAACCAGGTACCAAAGACTGCATTGCTCTTCTGACCTCTGAAGTTTGCTGTACTGTATCTGTGTTTGTACTGTCTGCATTTAAAATAAAACACCTCCGTTTTTATGCTTTTGTTTCACTTAGGCCGTGTATTCAGGTGAAACTGTTCACCTGCAGTGGGCTGGTGGTCATGTGACACTGCTGCTTCCTCTCGCAGGTCGGCTGGAGTTCGGTTTCTTCGGCTGTCTGTGCTCAGTGACGCTTAAGCTTTCAATAAAAGCGATCATGCCTTTGCCTCTGGTGCCTGTCAGTTCTGATAATGAACCCAGTTGTAGTGGCAAATCATTGTTTCAGTTTCAAGCACGGTGGGGTGGTTGATTTCATGGAGGTTCCAGGTGCATGTGTGGCAGAGGATGGAGCCCTAATGGCCACATGGGGGCAGTGTGGTCCTGCACACAGAACGAGGCACCTGCCGTTTACAATTATCCATCTTTATGTTATGCCAACTGATCATGTAACTGTGCTTAAAATGCATGAATCCCACCTGCCCCAATTCTCTTTTACTCTGTCTCCTCCCACAGTCTAAAGACACACACTTTAGGCAAATCGGTTAGTTTAAATTGCCCGTATTGTGAGTGTGGGCCTCGGACCGGTATCCCATCCAGGATGGCCCGTGTCTCACGCCCTGTACTCCCCAGGGTAAACTACAGGCTTGCCACAGCCCTCACTGCGTACACAGAAATGGGAGATGGGTGGACGATTGTTCCATTGTCAGAAGTTAATTTTTAGATAATGACTCGAGTGATATTTGATATCCAATATAGATTTTATGAAAGATGAGATTTGGTACAGTGAGAGATCATACACTGCAAACAGGTCATTTCAGAGAAAGCTTTTCTCACCTTGGCTAAAAAGGAGAAATTAAATAGGGAGAAAAGGAGACCTGTGGGGCGGCACAGTGGTGCAGTGGCTAACACTGTCACCTCACTTCTGGCACCACGGTTCGGATCTCCGCCATTGTTCCATTTCCGCCCACAAACCTCCCGACACCCCCAGCATCCTCCCGACACGTCCACAAACCTCCCGACACGTCCACAAACCTCCCGACATGCCCACAAACCTCCCGACACGCCCACAAATCTCCCGACACGCCCATAAATCTCCCAACACGCCCACAAATCTCTCAACACACCCACAAACCTCCTGACACGCCCACAAACCTCCCGACACGCCCACAAACCTCCCAACACGCCCACAAATCTCTCAACACGCCCCCCAAATCTCCCAACACGCCCACAAATCTCCCAATATGCCCCTTACTCCAGCCTGCAGAGATCTATACTTGGATACTGTTGCAACTGCTCCTCAGGTACAAGGTGGTCCAGAGGTGCCACCACAACCCTGCACACCACTTTGTCAGCCTTCAATACTCAGGGTTTTTTTTATCCTTCAGGAAATGTCTATTTTTAACAGCAGTTTGTACATTCTACTTCAAAGATCTCTCTCACTCCAGCATGTTGGTATACAAACCTTGGTTGTAAATACAGGTATTGGTTGGAATATGATTTCTTTTTATTAACATCATATTTGCGAGTGGTTGGTAACTGAGGATTGGATGCATACGGTTTTACATAAGCTTCAATAAAATATTATCTTAACTGATGATATATTCAGCTACATAGTTACGACAGAGTGTTTAGGGCAGGGTTCCTGGATTCCTGGTCCTGCTGGATTCTGGCCCAGGGACCACAAGTGGGGAACTCTGGTTTATGGCTTAATGAGCCTCACCTCCCCATGGACCTTGAACACCCCCTAGATGGTGCACGGCCTAAAGGTCTGGGGTGCAGTCATGAGGGGATGAGGGCCCAAAAGCCCCTTTGGTCCTGGGGAGGAAGAGACACAGACAGCTCCCCAGGACCAGGTCCAGCACATTGTGGAAGTCTGGGGTCAAGAGGTCAGGAGGTAGAAAAGCAAGGTTTAAAGGGCTTCAAAAACAGGAAAAGATTGCAATTGATGGAAATGTACCCCAGACAACAGACCCTGGAGGTCTTAAAATGGCTCAGATGCTTGACTCGGCATAACTGAAAGGCTGGAAGGGACACACACCTGTGATGTTGATTTTGTGAGGCAGCGGAACACTGACCTCCCCCACGGCAGATCACCACCAGCCGCATTGTGGATAATCCAGCACACCGGCAGACACAGAGGTACCTGGCAGAGAGGTGGAACCACCTGGGCTTAGCGGATGCTGATCAATTAAAATATAACAGTTAATCATCATTCATTAATATATAATAAGTAAAACTTGACCCCACATAGCATTACTCTGTTTCTACCAGATGAAGGAAACACTTACAGCTGTTAAATGCCTTGTGACGGCTTCTTAATGTCAGACAGGATAACGTTCGGGATGCCATAGCACAGTAGTGAGCACAAGCACCAGCAAACACTGCATGCAGAGATAGACATGCCTGAATTTCGTATTACGAGCCGAACAAATACAAGAAAATAAAGCATCTTCCATGACAGCTCAGCAAAGCCTTGTACCCGGCAGTCTCTGACGCTGCCGGAGAGCACAAGCACACAAAAGGGAGTGGGGCTCAATGGATTTGGTCAATAGAGATTTGTAAGAACAGTTCACAGCAAACAAAATTAAAATTATATTTCCCTGATATTATATATTATTTTTAACGAAGTAAAAACTTATTATTCCATATTTACTTCAAGTTAGTTACAGTACCTTTGATCCTATGTGGAAATTTGTGTGAATTTAGAAATTACATTCACATGGAGGTTCTCTAAAAAAAAAAAAAAATTAACAGACTAACCTGATTGGTCGGCTGAATCTCACTAAATTTTATTGGGGGCAAATACCCAATGAAATGCATGCTGGGACATTGTTTTTCCCATTTGAAAATGTTGACTATTGTTCCATATGAGATGACCCCAGTACACATGCTACGTACAAACATGCTGAAAGAATAGCGCTCACCGTAGCTGTATTGTACCAGGTAGTTTAGCTTAACAGAAGACCAAAATATGCAGCCAAAGCACTAATTCCATGCAATCTCCCTCAAGTAACAGGCTGTATAAAAACCTAAATTTCAGCTTTTGATCCATAACCTCCTGAGACCCCACCCATTCATTTATGTCCATCGTAATGGACATTTTATTTTTGCATCTATCTTTTCACTAATGTTAGGAAACATATTTATTCCTGTTGTACACCAAAGAGGACATGCTGTGAAATTAAAAATAAAAATAAATTAAAAAAAAATCTAAATTGTAAGATGTCTTATTTCCTCCAAAGACAAATAACCTAAAATTGAAGGACACTTTTTTCCTTGGGTCTCAGGAGGTTATGATGGTTTGGAGAACTGATTTCAGGGGTAAGACCAGTTGATCACCACTGTATAACCAGCACTGATTGTATTTTTAATATTATCTTTTAAATGTCTGTAAAGAACTCTGTAAACCCTGTGGCTAAATCAGTGCTACATATAGTGATAGAACGCCAGGTGCTGGCATTCAGCATGAAATGTTACAGTCGTTAAGATAAAACTACAAATAAACCAGAGGAAGCACTTCTTTACACAGCGTGTAGTCAGAGTATGGAATAGTCTTCCTGATAACATAGTGCAAGCTGAATCCTTGGGTTCCTTTAAATCAGAGCTAGATAAGATTTTAACAACTCTGAGCTATTAGTTAAGTTCTCCCCAAGCGAGCTCGATGGGCCGAATGGCCTCCTCTCGTTTGTATAGTTCTTATGTTCTTAGATCAAATTTTATTCCCCAGACAAAAATACCTTGAGGAAATTTACAGTTAATCTTTAACAGGAAAACTGACCAATTCCCTTGGATTGCTTAAGAGTTAAAAAATAATTAATGCTAATGTAATCAGCCTATGGTACCCAACTTACTAAGTTTGGGCTCTTGGGACCTCATTTCCAGTGTTCAGGTTCAGAAACTAATTGGACTTCAGCAGTTGAGCATACGGTGGACTCCGACTTGGCCACGGTAGCATGGTTAAGGTTCCCTGTGCTACTCTCTTGGCTCTCAGCGGAGGACGACGCACTTCTCTCCCTCTCCCTCCCCTTATCTTCCCTGCTTTGCTCCTGTCATCTCGTCTACTGTCTTATACGCACTCACCACACCCTCCCCCCGTCCCACGCCTTCGCCACTTCATACCCCAGCGTGAACAGGCGGGTCTGTGACCAGCGCCTCTGGCTGCAGGACCGGATGGCTGGCTCTTCTATGCTGGACTACCTCCACCTCCCCATTTCCCTCCCCTGTTGCAAGTCACAACTTTTTATGTTGTAAGGTGTAGTGACCATGTGCTTATATTGCTGAGGTGTTTTTTTCTGTTCCTACATTGTACTCCCTACTGGAGCACAGTCTGGGGGCTGTTTTTTTATTGTCCTCCTCTCTCCTCATGTAATTCTGTTTTCTCTGTTCTTCCTGTATCCCCCGTCTTCCTGACCTGCCTACCCCCATAATGTATATGTATGGTCGGGTTGATGGCCAGTTTTTCGCTGGTACTTGTGACTAGTGACATGGTGTATTGCACCATGTCACTAGACATTTCATCAATCAAATGTCTGGGAAAGTCTTGGCCAAAACAAGGCAACAGATCACTCCACTTTCTCAGGCACTACTCACTCACAGGAACCACAGCCAACCCCCAAGTTTCTTTTGTACACAGTTCCTATTTTACAAGGTCATTTCTAAGTACTGAAGACAATGTCCAAAATTGCACATCAAGAACCAAACCTAAAAAACGGAATCGAACTTCATAGTCAGACATCCTGCTACATCATTTACCCCAGAGACACTGCAGTACAACAGCAAAACACTAAACAGAACAGCAAAGAACATATTTTCAGATCGGTCCTTTATTTCTTTACCAAATCAATTTTGTAATAAACAGGCATGTCACAACCACCAATTCTATTCAAATAGTAAAATCTGAAATCCATTCACAAGGCCAGATTCCCTACTAAGGGGTATTTTTCAAATTCAATATAATACGGTAATAAAAACACTAACGTTAAAAAAGGTACAGAATGCCGTGTAGAGCTTTAACCAGAATTCTCTTTATCAAAATACTAAAAAGGGAAGATTGAATGACAAGTGAGAAGAGAGTTTTGCCCATGATTTAAATAACTTAACAGTAACCTGAACAGTAAAGAACTCTCTGAGATCATTTGCCTCGAGCCCTGCATATTTTGGAGAACTCATATAAAAATAAAAAAGAAAACTAAACATTTACACTTGCTTTAAACAGAACACATTACACAAAAGTTTAACTAATCGGCTCTGGGAAGAAAAAAAAAAAAAAAAAAAAAAAAAAAAATTGCATTTCAAGTAAATGCCAAACCTTTTCAAGTTGTTAAAGCACAAAGAGTAAAATGCATTTCCGAAAATAATTTACAGTCCTTTGCAGCTGGCTGCTGAGCTCCTCCAATGGTGGGGCTTGGCTTCACTCTGCCTGCGTTTGCACGACGGCAGCTCGCTCCTCACGCACTCTTCATTTCCTCCTTTGCCCTGCCATTTAACAAGCAGTTTAAAGTTAGCATTTATTACGGGTATTCCCTCTTCACAATCAACTTACAGATGAACAGACAAGACAGGCAAGTCAAGGGATTCTCCTCTGCGGCCGGTTTCTCACTGATAAGTGGGAGGTAGACCAAACATCACACGACAAGGCCCAGAGGCCAAAGCACAGAGAGGGTCCTTCTGACTGAGCCAACCTGAAGCCTTACCAGAGCAAGGCTACTCTTACAGACAGACAATTAGGAAATTGCAACAGTGAAACTATTCCAGGTAGAAGTGAAAGGACCACCTACTCCTTTGTGTCCATGCTCTCCTCAGAAGTCTTTTCTTCTTTGACATCTGAAGACAGAAGGCAGAGGCTCATTAGGAACAGCACAAGCCAAAAACTTTTAGATCCCCTCCTCACTAGAAGACCTAAACGTCTTAAACCAACAGGCTAGTCTGCTGAGATGGCAAATGCTCCCCCAGACCCTGTGCATCTCGTCCTTTTGCAGAACACTCCCTTACCTTTCTCCTCCCCATCCTTCTCCTCCTCGGTCTTCACCCGCTTTGACTTCTTGAAATTGGCTGCGTTCCGGCGGCCGCCTTGGCCCTCGTCTTCTGAATCTGAGAATTCCTCGTCGCAGGCTATCCTCTTGTCATGGGCACGCGCTGGGAGAGATGGGCACAGCGACTTTACGGTCAGGAGTCACCAGGGCTCTCAAAAGCTACCCTGACCAGGCCAAAACATTCGCCAACCATATGATCTCACAAACAACAAAGGGAACATCACTGAGAATTGCTTGACTGGTTAGCAAATTATGTTCAGGGAGGACTGATTAATTACAAAAGTATTTTAAAAATTACTGGAGTGGGAAAGTACATAAACTCTAAGGTTTAATGAGACCATGGTAGGTCCACAAAGGCAAGGAGGGAGGAGGTGCCACTAACTGGAAATTCGTTTTTCAGGGTCGTCTTCCTCTTCATCCCCACTGTCCTCCTGCACAGCATCTTCAGGGATTGCTTGCATCTGAACTCCAGGGGCGTGGGGCAGCATGCGGAGGTTCTCAAACAGCCGCTGCCTGCAGGAGACAGCAGCTGCGAGTCACACACACTGCACCACAGGGCAGCCAGGTACCGGAGATACCCAAGAGTCCAACAACGGGGCTTTTCCACAGCCACCAAGAATCGAGCCGTACCGAAAACCGAAGGTTTTCCACTGTAAATGACGGGAGCTGTACCCAAGCCAAACCTGCGCTGACACGGCCCTACTAGGGCCGAAAGTGAGAGCAAACCTGAGCGTACTCCAAAAGTGGGTCACAAGTGCTGAAAAACCACCCAGATGCATGGAGAGGGGGCCAAAAAGAGGTTGTATCTGGGGAAACCGGATGAATGGTAACCCTAAGAATGAATTTGCAATTTGTCATACATAATTGAATGCTAATTCCACCAGCGTTCGATACCAACTTATGATGCGATTCCCACAGAGTTGCTACCGGAAGTTTGCACATAGTAAATCAAAATGTACGCCGCATGAACAGGAAATAAGCACCTCTTCAGTTTTACGTTACTGTCACGCTCCAAACCCAGCTATGCCTTTTCCGAGCCGACCCTCGTGCTGTGGAAAACCAAGCGAGCAAGAACCACACTAATTAGTCTCTCGTCATGGTTCAGCTCAGGTACGGCCTGGTTCCTGTATGCCAGTGGAAAAGCACCAGACTTCAAAACTTCAGTTCATCGTGACAAGCAATGTTTAAAGTTGCAGGAGTTGTACACTGAAGTGACCTTCACTGCGGTGTCCCTGCGCAGGAACACTGTACTTACTTGATCTTCTCCAGGTAGTCGTTTGTGTTCTGGTTGGTCATGTTTGATGGGCTGATATGGAGTTTAAAGTCAGGACCAAAGTACTCAAAGTAGTCATTGTATGGAAGCTCTGATTCAGAGGGGGAGCACAAAAGAAAAAAGAAAAAAAAAAAAGAAAAAAAAGAAGAGTAAGAGTAAAATAGGATATCACATTTCTGCTTTCAAGAGCAGTGCAATTCTACAAGTCCTTGCAGCTCATTGCCAAATACTCAGTCGATACTCATTATCAATATTTATTTGCCAAATATTCATATTTAGTGTACTACTGAATACAATTTGGGTTTGCCCAGGTTTACTAGATCAGTTCTGTTCAAGAGAAAATGCCCCCCCATCAGAGTGTCTGTAGTGAATTACTACTGCACTTTACTACATATCCATTCTGAGGAAAACAGAACGGAAGGCCATGGAGAGATGTCACTGTTCGGCGGACCCCCTGATCTGGGCTGTACCGTTGGGGATGGTAGTGTCCAGAGCCACAGCGGTCTCGAAGGTCCAGCAGCGAGCCACGTTGCGGATGGTGTACCCTCCACCACCCAGCATCAGAAGAGGCAGGTTGAAGCTCTTCATGTACTCCACACATTTCGCATGGCCTGGGGAACAGGATGAGTATAATCAGGTGACACAACAGACTGGATGGCTGTCATTCACATCTCCGTGGCAAGTAGAGAGCCCCGACTCCATCACAGCACAAACAGCTCAGAAAACCTCCAGCTCCTCTAAAAGAGTTGGTGCATGATATTTGGATTTTTGTCGATTATCCCCATAAGGAGACTTCTTAAAAATAAATGTTTATTCTCTAAAATGTGTCTATAAAATGCAACAGCCAGGCAGAAGCGAGGGGGGGCGCGTACCTTTAATGGTGAGGTTGAAACAGCCGAGGCGATCCCCTGAGAGCGAGTCGGCTCCACATTGCAGCACAACAGCACTGGGCTGGTACATCTCCATGACCTTGGCCATGATCTGACGACAGACAGCATCACAGGCTAGAATCAGGCCTCAGATGGGACTCCGTGACGCTTTTATCCAAAGCATCTTACAGTAGATGGAACGCCTATAACCTTTGCGTTGTTGGTGCAATGATCTACTTACTGAGCTTCAGGAGCTAATACTACATTGCATGTGTTTAGTTTACTCTGTAAATCTTTTCAGTGACGCTGTGGGTTTGCAATACCGCCATATAATAATTTCTTCCACAGGAGGAGCAATAAACCTCCATTTATAATATATGGCAGAAATAAATCAGATTTGAAATATCACTAATCAATCAGGATCAAAAAACAATATAGCAATGAATGAAAATGGGCGACTCACAGGTTTGAAAATGGCTTCGTAGGACTCGTCATCAATTCCATCCCTGAGAGGGTAGTTCACAGCGTAGTACTTGCCCTTTCCTGCGCCGATGTCCTGCACAACACAGACAGCTTTTTTTTCTAAAACAGTAACAGCCCCGTTCATAGCTCAACGTGACCAAATGAGCAGATGCCCCTCGATGTATTTAAGTCAACAAGTGTTATTTAATGTCTCAGTACACACACTCAGGCCAGCGCCATAGTCAACCTCTCCCAAAAATTAAAACTGCAAGTTTACTCTCTAAAAATAAAGATACACTGTCCCATGCAACCAATTCAACAAAACGTCTGATGACATCTTCCGTAACAGACTCACTCTGAGGTCTCCAGTGCCGGGAAAGTACTCCCCATACTTGTGAAAAGACACGGTCATGACACGGTCGGTGGTGTAGAAGGCCTCTTCAACACCGTCACCATGGTGGATATCAATGTCAATGTAGAGCACTCTTTGGTGGTATCTAGAAGGAAAGGTTAGGCTCATTATTGTAGCTGCACCATCTTCTGAGGAACCAAGAAAACTTGACAGCAATTCGGGTCGGAATGGCAACCTTTAGTTACCAGCGAAGTAGGGAACTGCGTTAGACCATTAATTTAACGTAAAAATAAATCAATGGCAACCGGAAACATCCATATAAAACGTGGTTTCTGTGCCATATGAGAACATAATTGGAACTTTGAAAGCAGAAGTCTTAAGTCTAGTATTGATCCATTTTACACTACCAGTTAAAAAAAATGTGCATTTATGGCAAAAGACAGGCATGTTGCCATTCAACTGTACAACTGACAGAGGTGGAAATGAATGAATGAAATAAAATTCACAACGGAGAAGAGAGTTTACTTCAATAACTCCAGGATGGCCAGAACAATGTCGTTCACATAGCAAAAGCCCGACGCCTCGGATTTCTTGGCGTGATGCAGGCCTCCTGCCCAGTTGACGGCGATATCCGTCTGCTGCTTATTCAACTTTACAGCTCCAGCTAAAAGCAACCAATGAAAAGCAGCAATTAAAACCAGATCATCCAACACAACAGGCCATAGGCTAAATACGTACGCTGATATGTGGCTCTGAAATTCACTCACCAACTGAACCTCCAGTTGAAAGCTGACAGAACTCAAACAAACCATCAAAGACCGGACAGTCCTCTCCCACATTAACTGCAGAGCACGGAAAAAGTAAGTGAACCTTCACACACATCAACTACATATTCGATATTTGCAGAAGTGGACATTTCAGGCCCGGAAAGTAAAAATCCAAACCAGGATTATGTTTCAACCAACCAGTTGAATATAAAGAGTCACAGAGTACTCAACTGGTTGGCTGAAACAAAATCCTGGTTTGGATTTTTACTTTCTGGACCTCAAATGTCTGCCTCTGAATATTTGACTTCATAAAGGTTTAAAACATAAAACAATATATTAAGAAATAAAGTCCCCAATAAGGTGCTGAGATTAGATGAACACTTGGGTCATAATTCTGGTGAGGCTGCATTGGCTGCCAGCGCCTGGCCCATCCTTACATCTCTGCATCTGTTTGCTGTACTCTGACATGTTGTCAGGGCGGATGGACTTCAGGAACTTTATGTAGTCGTCACTGTGGTACTTGGTCATTTCTTCTGCGTTAGCTTTGTGAGGCCTCTGTAGAACGAGAGGGAGAGGAACCATTAAGAAGCCAGCCAGCACCAGCTGCTACCACAGGCCATGAAAGCAAACACAAGCCGTTCCCTCGGCTCATCTAAATTCCATAGATACAGATTTCAAACACAGCTCTCTAAGCGAAGACCAACCTACAGCATCCACATTCAACCTCATTTAAAAGGAATCGGATAAGGACGTGGAGTATTAACATGAGGGTAACCCATCCCACGGGAAGCAGATTCCATACAGCTAGAATTCTCCTTAGAGAATCCAGTTTAAGGTTACTTAATCTGGACAACTGCAGTTATGAAGTATACCCATTCTTAAGATAAACGTATAGAAACACAGCTCAGTTTTTGCCACTGAATAGCTGAATATACACAGGCAAGAATCATAATGATGATGATCATCATCATCATCAGCATTTTATAGCACTTTCACAAAGTGCTTTACATGTGGGATAAAACTCAAGAAGGAAAACAGGCATACAGAGTAAGCAATTGGAGATAAGGGTAACAGATAAAAGTAATAAAAAGGTCAAATAAAACTAAACTAAAAAGGACAGAGCACAATTAAAGAAATAAAGGTATATGAACAAAAAGGGTAAAATATTTGTAATGCAGTAAAAATATAAGAAGTATAAAGTTAACGACACTTACATAAATCTCCATCTTCCTGTACAACCCATAGTTGAGTAACAGGTTATGGGTCATGCGGATTCTGTGAGGTTTCATCGGATGCCCTTGTCCATAGTAATAATTCCCAACATCACCTTTAATGAGACCAAAACACCAACGTAAAGCTCCGAATTTCCCTACGAACAGCGTCGGCCGGCACTTACATGAAAAACAGTTGTCATACCGAAACAGCAGAATTTCACAATGACTAGTGATATTTAGAAAATGCGGCTGCGAAAAGCACAGGGATCCGCTATTATACCTTTGAACCTCGAAAAGAAGTTATACAAATATATACATATACGTACGCAGTATATACACACAAATTTCACGTACATTAACTAAACTTTGCAATATGATAATTATGTGATGTGGCTTCATTATGCCTCCAGTTCAATGCCATGTTCTCGAAACGAAGATCCATCGTCATATACGAAAATCCGGAGAGACTAAAACTGCAAAGTTTAAGCCTCAAATGTAATAGGAAAACTGAGACCGCCTGTATCACAACCATAACCATGTATTTTACAAAAAAAAAAAATCACCCTCGAAAAGCATTTGTAAGGATATGCTAGTTAGGTGACAAATAAGCAGCAGTTTCATAACCAGGCTGCTGATATCCAGACCGATTGTGGTTCCTTGTCCACAGGGGAACCACAAGCAAAACGAACCAGTCAAGATCACCGTGGTACTAGTTGGCCGATCAGCTTGTTTAGCAAACTATTAACCGCCAGCTAGTTAACTACCTGAGGGGACAGACTGAGCCCGTGTGCTTTTACTCCCCTTCGCAGATACCGGACTATTCTGAATGACTTCAGAGTCATCCTCCAAAAAAACAGCATGTATGCTGTAATATAAATTAATCTTAAATGTAGCTTCATATAGATTAAATTATAATCTATACGAGAAATGCAACGCTTAGGTTTTGACAGTACGACGGGTCAGCGCGACTGAAATCAATCGCAATCAATCAGCCAGCATTAGCTTTACGGAACAGGCGTGTTTGCGGGGCAGCCGGCGATTCAGCGAGGGAAACCGCCGGCTACCCAACAGGAACCGGGAAGCTGCGCCGCAGATACACGGGGTACCACACATCTGCTCCCAGCATTTTATTTGCTTCATTGCTTAAGATGGATATTCTCAGCCGAATGCACTGTGAGACTCCACCGCCTGCCATGCTAACTAACTAGCCTAGCTATCATCTCGCCCGGCAACCAGCAGCCCCCGCTACTGGGAGCGAGTCTTAAAAAGAAGCCGAATTTCCGTCGCGCACGGCTCGCTCGCGTACATTGCACAAAGCGCCCCGAAATATCCCGCAGCGTTAACTTTATTCTTACCGTCGTAATAATAACAAACTTTTTTCTTTGTTCCTTGAGTAGTCAGCGCCATTTTACCTCCAAATGCAACCTCTCTGTACCGGGCTTTCTACGCAGCAGCGCTAATTACAATCGGAACCCGGTCTGACGTCATCGCCCCCCGTCGGCCTATGGCTTTCTCTCCGATGCTTTTTCGCTGCGTATGTTGACCAATCGCATGCAGCAGAACTTCTCCATCCTCGTCCCCTTTCTGGGTCTGGTAACAAAAGCGTCAAAAATGCCGTCACCTTTCCATCTTCTGGTCGATGGCTTTCGATCCCCGCGGTCTGTGTGCTAGCTGCAACACTGAAGTGTTGCTCAAAATAACTTTATCATGCCAATAGAATTATTGTATCAGGCCACGAGACATTTATGTGTATGTATAGATATTAAATGTAGGGGCATGGCACAACGTCTAAATTCACTCGACTTTTGTTTAGGTCGCTGGATAAACAAGAGCTGTCCATATTCATAATTTCACTTGGATCTCGATCAATACTTCTGATATAGCCTCATATCTGTCTTTTGTGTAACCTGACCCAATATGCAATTATTATAAATGTTTAGTTTAGCTACTTTAGGAAGTTACATTTGCTTTATTCAATGGGGTGACAAATTAACCTTGGGTTTGGGTTGCTAGAGTTCCATAGCAGTCAGTAACAGATGTATAGTGGCAGTACTGATAAAACTGTTCATCTGGGACCAAGGATGTTAATTTGTGTATCAATCTGGCTCTCAGAAGCTTTAAGAGAAAGCCAAGAAGATATTGGGTTGACAAAAGCAATTGAACACTAAGCACATAATGGGTAAAAATTATATCCAAGGATTTTTATCACAAGTCAGATTCTAACCTACATTGAAATGAAAGGTGGTTACCTTCACCATGAAAAATGGTGCTCTTAGTAAAAGAATAAAATTGAGGGAAAAAACATAATATATAATTTTTAAGGAACAGAAAGTTATACTGAAAAAGAAAAGAAAAACCAGAGATGTGCCTTACACCTCCAAAAAGTGCAAGGTGCGTATGTAAGGAGCACATATTAAATAATGACTGTCACAGAGGTATGTCGTAATCTGATGGTTTGAGGTTACAAACTCCTTCTGAGCCTCTCAGTTCTCACAGAGACAGCAGAAGCGCTTTCCAGACCTCAGCCTGGTAAAGAGGCAGCTTGGGTTGTTGGTGTCCCTGTGGATTCTGGCAGCTCTGCTCCTGCATCGTCTGAGGTTCATGTCCTGCAGGGAGGGCAGATCAGCCTTGCAGATGCATTCAGCTGAACGTACCACCCACTGCTGAGCTTTATGGTCCAGGGCAGAACCATTACCAAACCAGGCTGTGAATCACATGGTGAGGATGCTCTCTAACACTCCAGAGCAGAAGGTTCTGCGAATGGTTGGGGAGACCTTGAGCCATCTCAGCTGCCTAAGATGGTACATTGGATGTCTGGCTTTAGATAAGAGTCTGCAAATGACTGGACCAGGTTAGGTCATCAGAGATACAGAATCCGAGATATCTAAAGGAGTTCACCTTCTCAACTGGGACACCATGGATGGTGAGAGGGCTGTAAGCACCGTACTGTTTACGTGTAAAGTCCAGCACCATCTCCATAGTCTTACTGGTGTTAAGTGAGAGGCAGTTAGCCTGACACCATTGCATCAGACTGTCCACCATGTTTTGTTTGACCGCACGGTCATGTGTGTAGAAAGAGTACAGGAGCGAGCTCTGAACACAGCCTCGTATTGTGGGTGATGGGAGCCGAAGTGTGGGATCTCACCTTCACTACCTCAGGTCTGCCAGTGAGAAAGTCTAGGACTCCATCACGTTACTGAGTTCTGGAGGGAGAGGGACCTAAAAGATCATTCATCATGACCGTTTGATTATTTGGAGGGGGTTGGGTTGGATTGGCTGGTGTTCTGATTATTGGGGGGATTACACCCCACACACACACACACATCTCCACCATACTTTGCATCCATGCAAGGTTGTGTTTTTTTTATTTGTTCCCTCTCCTTTTGCTTTGCCATCCCAAATTAAATAAAATCCCCGTTTCACTTTGCTTTGCTTGCCATCCTGCCCAGAGCAAGCCTTACGATTTCATTAGCTCTGGTACTGCTAAATTTGAGTATTGATCTCATATCGAAACATCAGCCAAGATTGACACATCAGGGTCAATGCGATACCTTCATTTTTAACAAATATCGGCCAATGTGGATATGATAACCGATATTTCGTGTACCTAACATGTTGTATTATATGCTGTAGCAGCAGTGTTAATTTCGTTGACGAAAAGTTTTCGTCATAGTTTTAGTTAACGACCTTTTTTCTCTGACAAAAACGAGACGATAACTAAATAAAAAAATATGCTCAAAGACTAGAACTATGACGAAAGTTATTGACATTTTTGTCAACGAATAAAAACGGAGACTAAAATATTTGCCAAAGACGAGATCCAATCAGAAATTTGTTGAAGCGGGACGACTTGAAAAGACATCCAATCAGAACTCCCAAGAGCGGTAATACGCTCAGATGCACATAACTGTAGGCGATTGATAGACGATCATCATAAGCACCCGGTTTGAAACAGGCTGTTTTTCATGAAACCTACACGACAATATGTCAGTGTCAGGAAGAAAGCGAAGAGAAGACATATGGACACATTTCCAGTTTAATATTACAGAAAACAAGATGCTTTGTAAGCCTTGTGGAGCCACCATCACCGGTAAAAACACAACGCACTTGAAGCGACACTTGCAAGCGAGTCATTCTGAAATCCACGCGGATGTAAGCTTGCTAAAGTCAGGTTAGCACTAAAATTCCTGCAGAATGTAAAAATAAAATCCATGTCATGACTACCTTTGGTCAGGTGCAACAATCAGCAACTCTGGTTAGTTTAACGAGCTGTAGCTCAGCGTGTTCACTGGGTTATATATATATATATATATATATATACACACACACTCACCTAAAGGATTATTAGGAACACCATACT